CGTGCACGAGATATGCACATCTTTTTCGTGAGCGTCGCTAGTGGAAAAAAGGTTGAACATCGTTCCAGACTCATCATGCCGTAGAATCAGGGTTCCAACAAGCGTGCGCGGAGGCAACGGCAAACGGAAGCGGCCGGACACTTCGTCTAAGCCAAGACACACACTTTTAGGCAGCAATCCCACCCCGTTCGGGGAGTAAGACACGACCCCCCCCCCGGCATCGAACCTGCTTCCCAAGGCTGCTGCTGCCACGGCCACGCGGAAGCTGTTGCTCCTGTCGCGACTGCTCAAACTGCTGCTCAAGCTGCTGCTCAAGCTGCTGCTCCTGCTGCTGTAGGCTCTTTTCATGGCCGCGGTATCCGGCCGCGTGGCGTTTCGCCCGCCGGCGCCGATGGGAGACTGGCTGCCGCCACCGCCCCCGCCGTTTTTTTCGACGGCGACCAAGCTTCCGGGGACGCTGAAGTCGCTGCCGAGCTTGCCGCCGATGGGAGACTGGACGCCGCCGCTGCCACCGTTTTTTTCGACCGTGACCAAGCTTCCGGAGACGCTGAAGTCGCTGTCGAGCTTGTTACCGATGGAAGACTGGCTGATGCCGCCACCACCGGCGGCGCCGCCGCCGCCGCCCTTGTCCACGGTGACCAAGCTTCCGGAGACGCTGAAGTCGCTGTCGAGCTTCCGGCTAGCGTTCGCGTCGGTGTCGCCGGAGCAGTTCCCGGTGCTGGCGCTACTGCTGCCGCCACGGCCGCCATTTCTAACGCCACCGCCACCACCACGACCACCCTCCCCGTCGCCACCACCGGCACCACCGTCGGCGTTGTCGGCGTTGTCACCGTTGCCGAGTACCATGGCCTCCTTCTTGATGGACGCCACGATGATGCTGTTGTGCTTGCCGCCGCCGCTGCCGCTGTTTCTGTTTTCGTTTCTCTCGATGTCGTCGCCGGAGCAGGCACCGCCGTCGCGGTTGCCGCCGGGACGCCCCCCCCCGCCGCCGCTGCCGCCGCCTCTCGTGTCGGCGGCGCTCGCGGGGGGCACGCGGTCGGTTTCTTGGGGGTCCTTACTCTTGGAGGGGGGCGGGGGGGGGGGGGGGGGGGGACCCAAAAAAGGGGGGGCCCGAATTTTTTTTCCTTTAGGGGGGGGCTTTGGTTTAACCGGTTTTGGTTTGCCGGGGGACCCCAAAAATGGAAAACCCTGGGGCCCCTTTTTTGGAAAAAAAAAAAAAATGGGTTCAGCCCAAAAAAAAACACCCCTTTTTTTCCCGGAAACCCCCTCCATAAACCCAAGGGGTTCTCCCCTTGGGGAAAAGGTTTCAAAAAAAGAAAAACCCCCCCGTT